GATCGTATCATGATTTGGCTCACGAATGGGACATGAAGCCTGCTATAGATATGGCATTTTCCATGATAATTGATAAGAAACCCGAACCTGCACCGCACTCTTACAACTGAGGGAAATTTTTTTGGGTATTTCGCTGGAGTACTATGTGCTACTGCCTACTGGACACTTTGAAGTGCGACAGATGCAAAATTTGCAAAACAGCACGCTTTTTGAAAGCATGCATTTTGCTTTGGAATAAAGCGAAGGCAAGAGGCACTCCATCATTTTGTATTTGTTTGCTTGCAATCATATAGGGATCAACCATTGTTCCATCACTTCACCATACACAAGTAGCATCATAACCTGGTTTCCTGCTTGCCTGCTGGTGGTGGAAGGTGGTGGAAGCGGGTACATGCTGCCACATTATTTTCAGGGAAAGAACACCTAAGAATTGGCACATGGCATATTTTTTATTTTTTCTAACGAGATGGTTTGTAGTAGTCTAGTAGACAGTATATTAAGCAGTAATCATATGGCATCATGCCGCAATAATACACAATTCTGGCAGCCGGGCAACACAAGCCGTAGCAGGTACCAGGTAGCTTGTAGCCATAGACAGTGTGGAACATCAGCAGTGGGACGATAGCAATTATGCAATAAAAAAAAGACGTACCCAGTGCAAGGAGCTCCCGCTCTGTGCGGGGTCTAAGAAAGGATGTCAGTGGCCAGTCTTATCCTCATCTGTGCAATACGAGGAGACCACAACTTAAACCTGGGACCTTCCGATCACCGACGGTAAGACTACCGTTTGCAGCGTGCCTGTCTTTCCAATTATGCAATAAAAATCGCCAAATATCGCTGCAGGAGCGCAGATTTCCGTGCCTATCACCGTGGCCACAAGGTCCCCGGTACTTCCAATAATGCATTCAGATGGGAGGCCGAAGTGCACAGGCTGCATTTCTTTACAAGGCCCGAGATTAATTGGAACAGTGATGGCTAACTGCCTAACTGCAAATCATATCATAATAGTGATGGCTAACTGGGAGCAATCATATGATAATAGCGGGACCTGCCTAACTGTGATGACGCAACAACATGCCATGAACCAAATCCAAATGTAGGTTGCGTTCCTTTTTATATGATATAGAGGTCGTAAGAAACTCCGCATACGGTGCGACGTCTTTGGTGTCCCATTATAGCGGGTTCCAAGTCCTAGTAAAGAATGAGAGTTATGTTAGGCGCGACGAGCTAATGTAAAAACTTAGCCACTTTTAAGGAGATGAAACCCAAAAGGATCCTATTGGGGCGTAACCCTCTTAGCGACACGCCACGTCGGAACCCGGGTATGGTGTTAAATGAACAAGGGCCGGGTCGTCACCCCCGTGACGCGCCGTGTCACGATCTGGGCATGGTGTCAAGTGGGCAAGGATCGGATTGTCGCATCCTTAATGGCGGCGCCACATCGGCGCCCGGGTGTAGCGCAAAATGAGCAAGGATCTTTACACCTACCTCGGTGGGTGTGAAGGGTAAGGAAGTTAGTCGAGCCAACTAGGATCCGTTTAGGTAGCTGGAATATAGGGTCCCTTACGGGTAAGTTAAGAGAGTTAGTGGACACAGCAGTTAGGAGACGTGTAAATATCTTATGCGTCCAAAAGACTAAATGGAAGGGGTAGAAGGCAAATGAGGTGGATAATACTGGCTTCAAGCTCTGGTACATAGGGACAACTTTAAATAAAAATGGAGTAGGTGTTTTGATTGATAAGAGCATCAAGGATAGTGTGGTGGAGGTGAGAAGGAAGGGCATAGGATCATCTTAGTTAAACTTGTCATTAGTGATATGGTCTTAAACGTAATTAGTGCGTACGCCCCCAAGTAGGCTATGATGACAGTGCTAAGCGACTTTTCTAGAAAGACTTAGATCGTTTGGTTAGAGCTGTCCCTAGTAGCGAGAAGCTCTTTATAGGAGGTGATCTTAATGGCCATGTAGGTACATCAAGTGTACGTTTCGAGGCGGTTCTTGGGGGTTTTGGATATGGTAGTAGGAACCAGGAGGGAGAGGAAGTCTTAGACTTCGCCATAGCTTTTGATCTGATGATAGCTAACACTTTCTTTCGTAAGAGACAGTCCCATATAGTGACCTTTAGTAGCGGCCAGTACTCTAGTCAAATCGACTTTGTTCTAACAAGGAGGGATAAATGAACATGCGTGGACTGTAAGATGATACCTGAAGAATGTGTGGTCGCTCAACATAAGCTGGTGGTGGCTGACTTCCGCTTTTTGGTGCAAGCTCGTGGGACCAAACAAGCTAGGGTTGCTAGAACGAAGTGGTGCAAATTAGAAGGAGAGGCATCAAAGGTCTTTAAGAAAAATGTCATTGAAGAGGGCCCTTGGAAGGATGAAGGCGATGCAAACAACATGTGGGAGAAGATAGCAACATGTGTTCAGAAGGTTGCTTCAGAGGTGCTTGGAGTGACCAAAGAGAGCGGATGTGACTCGAAAGACACTTGGTGGTGAAATGAAGATGTGCAAAAGGCTATTAAGGAAAAGAAGGAGTGTTATAAGCGCTTGTATCATGACAGGTGTGCAGACAACATAGAGAAGTAAAAGGTGGCAAAGAAGGTTGCAAAACGAGCGGTGAGTGAGGCAAAGAGACGGGCCTATGAGGACCTTTATCAACGTTTGAGTACGAAGGAAGGAGAGAAGAACAATTATAGGATGGCTAGGGCTCGCGATAGGAAGAGAAGGGACTTCAACAAAGTCAAGTGCATAAAGGATGAGAGGAAGCAGCTCTTGGTGAAGGATGATGAGATCGGACATAGATGGTAAGAGTATTTTGATAAATTGTTCAATGGTGAGAACGAGAACACCACTGTTCAGCTAGACGACTCGTTTGATGACACTACAGGCGCTTTGTGTGGAGGATTCAAGAATCGAAGGTCAGAGATGCCTTAAAAAGGATGAAAGAGGGCAAAGCGATGGGCCCTAATAGTATCCTAATCAAGGTGTGGAGATGTCTCGAGGATATAGCTATAGTATGGCTAACCAAGATGTTCAACAATATATCTTTCGATCGAACAAGATGCCTGAGGAGTGGAGAATAAGCATATTAGTACCAATCTACAAGAACAAGGAAGATATCCAAAGTTGTACTAATTATCGGGGAATTAAGTTGATGAGCCACATTATGAAGTTATGGGAGAGTCATCGAGCAGCGCCTGCGAGGAACGACGTAGATATCGACAAACCAATTTGGTTTCATATTCGGAAGGTCAACCACAGAAGCAATCTTCTTAATAAGACAAGTTATGGAGTGGCTTAGAGAGCAAAAGAAGAACCTCCACATGGTTTTCATTGACTTGAAGAAGGCTTATGATAAAATACCAAGAAATATTATGTGGTAGGCTTTGGACAAACTTAAAGTCCCATCAAATTACGTGACCCTCATCAAGAACATGTACACCAATGTTGTGACTAGTGTTCGAACAAACAATGGTAACACAGATTACTTCTCGATTAAAATTGGACTTCATCAAGGGTCAGCTTTAAGCCCGTATCTCTTTGCCTTGGTAATGAATGAGGTTACCAGGAACATACAAGGGGTATCCCTTAGTGTATGTTGTTCGTTGATGATGTAGTGTTAGTGGACGAAAGCCATACGAGAGTAAATAGGAAACTGGAGTTATGGCGGCAAACCCTTGAGTCTAAAGATTTTAGATTGAGTAGAACTAAAACTGAATACATGAGATGCGATTTTGGTGGAGCTGCACAGGAGGAGGGAGATGTGAATTTGAAAGGTCAAGTAGTGCCTAAGAAGGATACCTTTCGGTATCTGGGATCGATGCTACAGAGGGATGGAGATATTGATGCAGACGTTAGCTATAGAATCATAGCAGGGTGGATTTAGGGGCGACGACATTCTCTGTGACAAGAAGGTACCACAAAAGCTAAAAGACAAGTTTTATAGAACAACGATTAGACCGGCTATGTTGTATGGAGCAAAATGTTGGCCTACAAAGTTTTGACATGTTCAACAACTAAGTGTTGCAGAAATACGTATGTTGCGATGAATTTGTGGTCACACAAGAATGGACCGAGTTCGGAACGATGATATACGTGATTACCTAGGGGTAGCACCAATTGAAGAAAAACTTGTCCAATATCAGTTGAGGTGGTTTGGCCATGTCCAAAGGAGACTTCCTAACTTAACAACAAAGTTCTACCACGCATTTATATGTTGCTCATTAGCATTTACTCCCTCCGTCCCAAAAATAGTGTCGTTTTTTTACTTTCAAACATCTTGTTTGACCATCCGTCTTATTCAAATATTTTGTATAAATATCATCTATTTTGTTATGACTTATTTTATCATTAGAGATACTTTAATAATGATTTATTTATTTTATAATTTACACAAAATTTTTGAATAAGATGAATGTCTGAAAGTAAAAAAAAACATCACTCTTTTTGGAACGGAGAGAGCATATTCTATTTGACTGAGTTACAGTTCTTAAAGCACAAAGGATAGTGTATGATTTCTTAACTAAAGTCATCAAGTAGTTCCTCGTGCATGTTGGGGGCGATGGACGCTTATTTAAATTTGAATACATAGCCATGGAATGAAAGCTCAGTGTAACTTCTAGAGTGGTTAGTTTCATTTAGTTCAACATTATCAGATCTAGTCTTTGAGAAGTCCAAACAGTTACTACAATACACAACGGCCGCCAACTGATGATTACAAGAGGGAAGAGAGTAAATACTCACATAATGTACAAGTAGTGATTGGCCCATAAATAAGAGTACAAAATAATGCAAATAAGCAGGGTAGCAGGTATCAGTAAAATATCAATGCTAACTGTATACTTCTGCTTCTGGTTTTATTCTTTCCAATAGCTTTTCAGCCTCGATAAACCCCCCTAAAGGTCCCAGAGGGGTATATTTCACTTGCCTCCAACTGTCATATGAAGTGGCGCAAATGATTTTAGATGGCAATTAAGGCTCTGATTCAAAGTATCAGTCTTAGTTTACCTGGGCATAAATGGCAGTGCCAGGCAATGAAGATGAAGGTGATCGACACTATTAAATGGGGGCTGATGGAACCCAAACCTACAATGCAGGCTACATATGTAAGAGAAATGACAGTAAGAATCTTGAGATATACTCCCCCTGTTCCATATGGGCTTTTGAAATACCTGTGTTCCTCAGAATTGGGAGCATCTTGATTGAGCAAGTCTTTCCCCACCTTCACCATATGGCTGACTGAAAGACAACAATAGAAGAAATGCAACAGCTCACTCTTCAACTCTGGCTTGCACTACGATGCATAGTGAAATGCAACATCAAGCCAGGTTCATATAATGAAAGAAGCCAGAGAGTACCCACCTAACTGGTGATCATCTTTGGTTTTGTGGAGGCTATTTACAGTTGGTATATGATCAATGGGTATGACAAGATAGTGCCTACAAATATCGCACAGCATAATACATCACAAAACAAATATTCAGGCAAATAAATTGGGCATTTACAACGGTAGAAGTACAAGCTCTCAGAAAAATAATATAACAACGAAGGCTTATAGTCCCAAGCAAGTTGGGGTAGGCTGGAGATGAAGCTGAACAAGAACAAAAAAAAAGAGGATGAACAAAGCAGAATGAGGTACTAAAAGTAGTAATAATGAATCAATAATTTCTTCTGGCTGTGAATAGGAGAACCGAGCTCATGTTTAGCCCTATGAGTAAATCATGTGAAAATTCGCTCTAGCATGTCTAACGCTTATCAAACACAAAGCCAGCAAGAACCACAAGAAGACTTCAATGTATCATGCTGTTTGCATCACCATCATGGCATCGTGTACTTCTCACAAATTATTATGTTTCAATTGTAAACCAACTATGTCATTGCTACATGAAACTAGAACACTCAATTATAAAGATATACAGTATGTTGTCCTAGATACGTACTACATGAAACTAGAACACCCAATGACCCAATCATAAGATATATAGTATGTTGTCCCAGATACATAGTAAAATTTATGATACTTTCTTGTGCAAATGTTCCTTTCCTGACAACTTATTGCAAGGAAGTGTGAATGTGTGATGCTTCTGCTCATATGAATGCAGAAGTTCATATAGATGAACATGAGCCTGCGTATAGCACCTCAACACTACTACTAGTAGCCCTCCAATGTCCAAAGGAGCACTTATGAGTTAGTGTTTGACAGGATACCCATATAGTTCTATATATAGAGAGAGTATATTCAGTAGCCAGCTACAAAATAAGTTATTCTGTAGCCACTTCTATTTCCGATAATTCTATATACTAATTTATGATAATGTCAATACATATTTACGATAATTATGTTACTATAACACATGGAGATATTTATCATGACATTATAGTAAATCACTTAGTAAGGAGTTACTATAATCATGTAAATTAGCATAATAATTATCGTAACTCAAAAGTGGCTACAGAATAAGTTATTCTATAGCCAACTGCAGAGTAGTAGTTCTCTCTCTCTCTCTCTCTCTCTCTCTCTCTCTCTCTATATATATATATATATATATATATATATATATATATATATAACAATTAAGGTGAGACTGGTATAGATGGTCAGAAAAAATGCCAGCTGATGTGTCTGTGAAAGTGAACGAAAACAATGGAGACATAATGTATAACAAAGGTAAAGTTCTGAGGTTAACCATGAATAGCTTCACTGCTTCAGGATCACATAGATACTTAGACGTTAGAAGAAATGACAAGCTTGGAAGGGCTTAAGGCAATGAATTAAGTGAACGATTACAGACACACAAAGAACGTAGCAGCCTAGCACACAGAAAAATAAGGTCCAATCGAATACTTCCACCATTCCCTACAACAACAACAACAAAAAACGCATTGCTTGCAATGCTCGCCAGGTGTTCGACGAAATGAACCTACGCCTTACTTCATCCGACTGACTCGTAACACGATATCTAGACCTATCCAAGCAACAGAGAGCTATACAAACGAACAACAACTCCTCAGCAAGTACCTGAACGCCGACGGGTTGATGTCGCGGAACGCCACGACCTTGTCATCCTGCGCACAGGAGGAAAAAAAACAAAAGGGGATTTACATTTTCTGCAGCGAAAGAAGCACTAGATCGGAGGTGGAACATGGGGACAGCGGTACGGAACGGAGTAGAGGAGAGCGGTGGTGGAGGTGGGGGCGCGGCGGGCGATGTCGCAGAACACGCACCCGTCGACCATCGGCGCCCGCTCCGACATCCTCCTGGCCAAGCGGCTGCCCCCGAAGCAGAAGGTCTTCCTCATGGCGCAGCCCCCCGCGGGTTGGTTCGGGATTAGGAGCAGGTGGGAGTGGGACTCCGCCCGACGCGGGGTGGACTTGACCGGTTCAACAGCGACGCTCCCGGACGCGGCGGCCGGCTCGGGGTCCGGGATGCCGCCGCCGTGTCGGTCGTCGGAGTCGAAGGCTAGTTTAGGGCTTTAGGCTTCGCCGCGTGTGTGATTCCGTGGCCCAGGAACTGCAGCCGGTTCGGCAGTTAGATATGGGCGTCCGTAGGCCCACTTAATGGTACTGGGCTGGGCTCAATGAGCAGCCTCTTGAGGCCCTCTGAGGCTCTGACAACAGTAAGTATGCGTTGATTTTCCTTCTCATTTTGTGGTACTAGTATAATATAATGTATTGGTCAACCGCATAAACATAAACTGTATATAACTGTTGAATGTTGATGAATATATACGGAGTAAATGCTAAGGATGGAGTGAGGAGTCTTCCCAGCATTACGTAGGATGTACTAGCAAATTTAATTTTCACTTGTATCTAAGGAGGATTGAACAGGACTGCACCACTTGACACGCAACGAAACTTAACAAGGTACGGTTCCATGGCGCGGGGAGTTTCAGCAACCGTGAGCCACCACGAGTCGTCAAGAACTTGACGAGACCGGCAGGTTTGAACGTCCGGCGTGGAACGTGAGGAGGTCTGTACTACACGGCTCCTTGTCGGTCCATACTTACGGCTCAGCCACACACATGCATGGAGGAAATGCCGACGTCATGCACATATATATTTATACACACACACACACACACACACACACTATAATATGGAAAACCAAAGATGTGCACGCCAGAAACGGCGGATTAGTACCTCCTCCTTACCTCGTTGCTTGGCTTCGGATCACTTTTCGTGTGATGGTTGCCCACGCAGGACGATCAAGGTTTTATCTCACTTTTCTATATATTGTCCGGCCGGTGCCTATCCTTGAACTTTTGGGAGTTGGGACATGTGACATGCATGTCCACGACCTTGTTGACTTTCCGCCTCGTGCAACTCGATCATAACCTGCAGACTTGGCCAAGGTTGCAGACGTCCACGCGTCGCCATGGGCGGCGGTTGATTGGAGGTGGTATTCACAGAGACCACGGTTCCTTCTTGAGCTTAGCTTGTTCGTGCATGGCCACGTAGATTTCTTGCGCACGCCATGTTGCACATGTTTGGAGCACCACAATGTTTGAATTCTTGGGATCATGTATAAAATAGAGTACATTTGTGCAGACAATTCAGATGACCATGGCGAGTACGTACAGTACCGATTAATCTTAGAAGAAAGCTCCTCGTCGAGCACAAGTACACAAGTTAAACTTGTTTACGTACTCCATAACATTTGTCATCGGCGCACGAACCTTCGTCGGTTGATCTAAAAATCCACCGGCCACATATATAACCACAGCGTTTTGTCAACACAATCGTCGTCGTCCCTTTCGCGGAATGTTCGCACACGGATCTACCGGCAGGGTGGTCGCGTCGCCGAACGCCCGGATCGGAGGAGACCGCGGTATTGAAAATGTTGGGTCGTTGCTGTACTCGACTGCATCCATCAGCCCGTCACCCCATCATGTCCCTGTCGACGTATTAAAGTTCCTGTTCGTTTCGAGCGCTTGGCCGGGAAGCTCTCCACGTAGCAAGAAATACACTTGGCCATACCAAATTAATTGGTTCTCCAGCTTGACTGATCCAGTCGCGGTCGCGGCTTGATCGATCGATCACGTACGCTAGCTCGATGATCCAGACTCTCGGTCGACCGGCTGATCTTTTTTTTAATGATCTGGTTAGCCTTCTAAGCTTCTTTATTTCAATCTCCAGCGCTGACGAAGAACTCTAACAAATGAACACTAGCAGAATTGTCGCTCCATCCCACGACACGACGACCGCACGGCTGAATGTCTGCAAGCTTCTACGCCAGCTCTTACACAAGCAAGTGTCCGACGTTTAAATTATCAGCAAATTATACGCAGTAGCCATTAGCTAAGCACAACTGCACAAGCATGCACAATTGTATACGTACGTATATAGCCCGGCCTAAAAAAGTCGTAAACGGGTCTAGAGCACGTTCTCGAGTTGCTTGATCTGCACCGATTAGCCAAACGGGCACATAAACGACGTCTCTTTTATTTTATTTTATTTTCTTTTGCTTTGGAGTGGAGCACAAACTCGACGAGTCGTCAATGTTTTCCTAAACGGTAAACGGTCTTTACACGATCGCCCTTTGTTTAGCGTTTAGGCTGTTTACATGGTATTTAAATGAAGTTAAACAGTCTAAACGGTTTTGTACTTTTTAAAAAAAATACATATAATTATATATGTGCATGTAAAAAATCAAGTATTCTATCATTTATACATATTTATCCGAGTAAAAATCAATTAATTACATTGATATACCCATATACGCTTAGCTAGAAATTCAGAGTTGCTAGTCGTCCTTCTAATTAATTAGATTGATATACCTCATAGTTTCTCTTGCATGATAGCTATATCTTTGCCTTAGCTACATGAGGGTACGCTGGTGCGCATGATTATTTACGTGTGCAACGTTGTGACCATGAGCTAAATAGAAATTCTAATTTACCCATTGAAATTTTGTCCTACATGGTTAAGTTTTGTAAGATGAAAGTTAAATTCTCAAACTTGAATTTCTATGTGTCTATTGAAGTAAAGAAGAACTTAGACCTCGTTTGGTGCGGCTCCCGCACCGGATCCGCACGCGCCTTTGGCACCGGAGCGGGCATAGCCCCACCAAACGAGGACACACGAAGGAGCACTTCTTCACTGGGATGTGCGGAGCCGGAGCCGTTTTGGCGTCCGGACCGGAGCGCAAAAAATTGGCTCCACCCAAGCGCTGCCAAACGTGCCCATCGTTCAGCAATGGTGTACATTTTTGTTGGGCGCGGGGGGGGTTGTTGTTTACTACATATTTTAAAACTAGTGTAGACCCCTTGTTGAAAGTTTACATATAAGTTGCGTGGGGAATTATGTGGCAGAACCACCCGAAATAGCATGCTTTCGGAGGCGCTCGTCTTCCACCAGACACTAAGCACCTCGAAAGTTGGCTACATCGGACGGTTCCGTCGAGCACACCCCAAGGAAGAACTCGAACAATCTACGTTTTTTGTCCAGGATCCAATAATGAGAAGAAGTTTACAATACTTAGTCGATTTCATACAACAAGAGTTCTCGGAAATACATTATTACAATACCAAGTTCAGAGTGTGGAATTTAAACAGCGGAATTGAAATAAACATCTAACGATAAGATACAAGGATCCGTCTGTGCCCACCAAAAAAATCCTCCACACAACAACCACTCCTCAAGCTGCACCTACAACAGAGGTAAATAAACCCTGAGTACGCAATGTACTCGCAAGACTTACCCGACTAGTGGAAATATGATATGATAAGCTTTATGGTTTGCTGGGTTTCCTTTTTGCGAAAAGCATTACTAGTAGTGAATCATTATGTATGTGTTTTATTAGCAGTCATGATTAGTTCATTAGCTAACCATTATATGTAAGCACATGTTCTACTTTCAAGCAAGAGTTGAGCAATCAAATCCATTCACCCCATTTCATCTTCCAGTTCTTACTACAGTGCTAGACCATAGCCAAGTCGTACCGTATCACTCGGCGATTCACGAACCAATGTATCCCAGCTGGGTACCCCGAAACACACGCCCCGCTTGTACCTCAGGCACAAGCAAGACCAACCCACCACTCTCCTGTCAAGGGATCCAGGTCCCCGTCCAAACTTGGACTCCAAGCCCCCACTCCTGAGTCCTGGACTCAGTGTGGTGCTTAGACCTCCACCATCTCCGCCTCCAATCAGTCGGTCCAGAAAGAGTCGGAACCCACGACAAGAGAGCAACGAGCCTTTTCGTTCCCATAAGCAAGTATATGCTCAGGATAATAAGTCTGTGGCCTAACTACCATCCACAGCAATGGACGGTCCTTAACCGACACTATCGGTGTTTTGGACCGGGGGGTCCTCAACCAACCAGTAAATGTGAATTGCGTGCCCCTAATCCCGAATGGTGATGCAAAGAGACACAAGGTTTATACTGGTTCAGGCAATCGGTGCCCTACGTCCAGTCTAGAAGATCGATCTTGTATTCTTTGCACCGAAGTGCTTGTAGTAGGGGGTTACAAGCTGGGTGAGAGAGGGAGCTAGTCCTAGGTCTCGGCGTGGGACGGTGCGAGGTGCTTGAGACGCTGCTCTCAAGCAGCCCGGGAGCGTGGGTGTTACAGGATGTGTCTAGGGCGAGTATGGGAGCGCGGTTCTATCGTATCTCCTTCTCCTCTCCCCGAGCTATCCCTGACCGCTTCTTTTATAACCGCAAGGAAGGAGCCAGGAGTACATGAGTAAGCTACACGTGGGGCCTACTACAGTTTAGTCCTGTAGCAGCATGGCGTTGGGAATGGAGATCTGTACTTGTCTGGCGCGTCGTGCTGGTCAGGTTTGAAGTGGTTGAGGTCGTGGGAGTCCTTGTCGATGTCTAGTCAGTATGACTTCCATGGCCGGAGACATGTCGTGCTTTGGTGGACTCTTGGCCTGGTGGAGTGAGAGGCTGGCGGGTTGTAGCTAACTGCGCTGCGAGGCTTGATTTGCCGAGGCCTGGGGCGGTGTTTGTAGCCGACCGCCGCCGAGGGCTCGATTCTTTGAGACCTGGCAAGGGAGCGGTTGGGCCTATGTAATCGATTCTCGAGGCTATAGTGACCTGGTTTAGGTGGAAAAGTCACGGGGCATGGTAAAAAAGGAGATTTGACCGTTGTCCTATCGCTCCTGTTGCTGTACCCTGTCGGCCGTGGCTGACGTAGCGGGTGCATTTAGGCGCATTAAATGGATAGGACAGCCTGCCGGAGGGATGGTTGAGGCGGAGGCGACGAGGATGCGGGATTTGAGCCGGCCTCGGCCGAGGCGAGAGAAAGAAC